TTTGATTTCTTCTAAGTATGCTTCAGAAGAATCATTGGAAAGAGTTTTCTAACAAAGTAACTCAATTTAATTGCTAACCCAAAAAATTAGTGTCCCAGCCGCTTGGTATTTATGTCCCAGGCCACTTTATTGTCAACTGAAGCTCCACCCAATTTCTACAAAGGTTAATTACGCTAGTGAATTTCCGCGGCCCCGGTCTGTCTTTCCACCTCCGTGATTCCTTGATGATGTCAGCATTTTAATGCAAATTTCCACCGAATTTGGTCTTCTCTTTTAAATAGACAACATTTAAATGTGAGATGAGAATGTTCAGTCGAATCCCAAGAGACTACCGAGTTTTAAGTAGTGAGTGCTGACCGAAAGTCGTTACGGATGAAATCCACACCAAGGACGAATTAGACAACCAGGAGCCACTACCAACGTTTATAAAACGTACTACAACCTAGTGAGAGCTGACATAACGAGCGTTGCATTGACTTACTGGACTCTAAATTTGCCTCCAAATATTTCTGTCAATTTAACCGGTCTTGGTTACTTGGCTGCTTACACCGACTGCTGAACCCCCCTCCCCCCTCTCATGTTGACCTCAAATCGCGCCATGTATGCGGCATAAATAGAAATAATGGACGCTCTCGCCAGAACACATTCACATTAATCTCCCAGCTGTCCGGTAGTCCAAAAGCCCATGTGAAATTCGCAGCAGTAGGGCGGCGACAAGGCGCACATCAAGGGTAAGTAGGTTGTAACCTAAGAGAATGTTTTAATATGTAGGTTTATGTGGACGTGAGAGAATAGTTGTTAAGAATTACAATGGAACACCTTTAAATCGTAGTCCTACTAATTAGGGCACATCTAATTGCACGAGAATCACGATCCCTAATGGCCACATAAGGACATCGGGTACTCCCAAACACAAAATCTAACTTTGAGTCCTAACATTGATAAGTGAATACCACACTTTGAAATAAGATGTCGGCACCACGCCAAAGCGAATTTAACTAGAGATGAAAAAGTTCGACCGGACCATAAGATTTTGGGGCTTTGGACTTCATTCAACCTCTTAGGCCACTCAGCAGACCATTCTGTGGATAATAGCTCGAATTCGACTTTGCTTACATTCGTGAAAGCGAACAGAGACAGCTGTTCAATAGGGCCAATGCCCAGCTAGGCATCGTCAATTAGTCTATTGACAGTTACAAGCAGTAAATTAACATAGCTCTTGTCTGTCAATTATTTAGGACACCTAGAAGTTGGCTCTGGTAGATATCACTTTTTTTCAATTTTACGCATGTATTATAAAGTCAACAATTCCCACCTCACTTGTGCATTTTACCTCCACATCTGTGCAACCTCAGGTCAGAATAAAATTAACAGAAACCGATTTGAACCACTTCTGTTGACTTCAGACCACGGACAAAACCCCTCATATTTCTGTCGAACTTAACAATTCAGTTAAAAGTTGAGCATCTAATGACATTCCATTAATACCATCTTATGTGAGTCGGGTAAAGAATCTTTTCTGGTTTAAAACTTCTCTTTGTTCTAGAGAAAATTGTGAATGACATTTCGATAGTTAGGTCATCCTTGGCAAACTAAAGAATTAGTATATGATTGGTAAAATACATTTGCAGTCTATTTGTGCAATTTACTAACCAAAACCACTGAAAGCTAACCAGTCAGATTTTCAAAAAGTACCGAGGTCTGGGACTTGCTGTGACGCATAAAAATGTAGAGCATTTTGACTTTTTTTATTTTTTTCATTGCTATTCGTGTTTGTACACACCATTTTTCTATTTACATCGGTCATCCTCATCCTATTGGCCCATTCATATTTGAGTGTAGTAATTCGCCAATACGCACTTAAGGCCGCCCACGCATGTGGAAGTTCGTCCGGCCTTTAGCAGAAACACTAAAAGCTCCGTTGTCTTACACTAGCGTGGGATGGCTCTGAATAATACGCACCTTTTCAAGGTGCTGGCGTAGTAGGCTTACGGCGTGATAACGAGGGAATCGATTAATTGGGCTCAGGATTCTGCATCTGTGTACGCGGAACCGTGACAGCGCGTTGATCGCCTAATTTGTTCCTCCTTGAAGATTCTTGCACCAGAGGTAAATCTGGAGCGATTTATCAGCACTACCTTACAGCCCTGCTGGTTAACAGCCCGTAACAACCCGAGTAGAGAGGCAAAAGAGGCGATGGTGGACAGGAGGATTTTTTCAAATCAGACCGCTCAGGTCTTGTAATAAAAGTGTTTTAGTGGAAATCGACTGTCAGTTATTATCAATAATAAATGAAATTCGATCAGTTCGGGACTACGCTTCCCTCACGCTCGTTCGCAGACAGTTTTCAAAAAATCAATACAACTTTTGGTGGTTTTGGACAACGGGAAGACTGTATACAAATAAAAAAAAACAATTTTTTAGGAAATCGGAATATCGCTAAAATTGTCTCAGTATATACGAAAAAAGCTATAAGGTATTTCAATATTTATCGTACAGTACGAGACAAATATGAAAGATTTAAAAGTGATTTAAAATTTGGAAGTATTACCTTAAGAGAATCATTTAAAAACCGACTTTTCCGAAAAGGTGCTGGTCACGCAACAGAAAAATTAGGAAACTAGCATAAAGTCTGCGTGGAAATATTGATGATTCTCATGTAAAAATTCTGTAATACATCAAGGTCGATGAACACGAAAGTATATAATTATCCTAAGCAGTGTCCACGATTTTGCGATTTTGTCTCAAGCACAAATTTGTTAAAAATAAAATTTAGAAAAAGCAGTATTTAACTTGTTTAAAATTCGCTTGCTACTATGACATTTGAAACAGTTTCAATGTGTACAACAACAATCTTTATATCGAGAAAACACAATCGTGGCTTGAATTACTCGACCTGACTATGCAGGAAGAAAGTTTGTCCATTGGTTGCACACTCCCTTTCTCATTCATTGCCAAAATATCATACTAGCCAGGTAGAAGAATGATTAACATCAAGCTCTTAGGTCAAATAGAAGTTTCGTTGTCGTGAGAATATGCCTTTGGGAGAAAACACAACTTATTACAGACTTCAAGTTAGTTGTACATATTGGTTGAAGATGTTGCAGCGCTATGTACCAACAAGGATCAGATCAGCGGAAGGACAGAGAGACAACCGCTTATTTGAGAGCTTGGCCAAATCGTCGTCGTGTGTATTTGTATTCAAAACTCAGATGTGTGAAGCAGTGTGAGTCATAACTATGCTAAAATCGAGACCTAGTTGGATCCTTGTTCGCGCTACTGAGACGGAGGGTGAGATTCCACGCGGCTGACGACATGCTGTAAGAAGGGGTATATTTTGCCGGATTTACGAGTGTGAATTAACGTGATTCTCTCTGACCTTCAATTACTTCAATTCCATTTTGATACAGCCTCCGCGTAGCTAATTCTGGAAAAAGTTGTAAGCGTCTGCTTGTAAAGCTCTTCTTTGAAGAACTCACGACAGCGCTATTTATTGGTCCAAATAAATATTTGGCATGCCTAACGACACTGACTAGCATCAAGCACACAGAAAACAAAATGATCGAAATGATAAAAAATCAACTGTTTAATGCTTCATATTTATTTAATGCAACAGATGATTTGAATATTTATGAACAGCATACATCCAAGTCACTATACGAAAGTAACTACGTGAGGTATAAAGAGAAATTAAGGGAACTCATAAGATAAGTTGAGCCAGGAGGAGAACGTCAACGAAATACACACATATCTTACATTAGCGTACGAATCCACAACAGCTCTATGTTCTCATGAAAAAAAAAGCAAAAATGCCACAAACGTAACAAGCCGTTGGATATGTAAGAAAATTTTCGCCACTGACCAAAATTCAGGTAAATAATTCAAAGTCAAACAATTCACTTCAGGATTTATACAGCAAAGACAACGACATTACACATAGGTTCCTACTAAAAAGGTAGTTTTAAGAAAACAATTTGGAAAAAGTAAAAGTCAAAATTCGACAATTTACAACAAAGAAAAAATACAGGTAAAGTGTGCTTACGTGATGTGTCAACTATTAGGTGTTGTACGTTAATAAGCAAATCACAATTTCTGCTATGTCTTATATTTATTTTTAGCTTCTTTTGCTAGTCTGTTACTTTACATAAGTTCTCCGCTTTGTCCTTTATATTGTTCGCTTTACACGTTATTTGCTATTTTGCCTGCAGGTTAATCCGAAAGCGCATTAAAAATAGATTAAATATTTTTTTACTTAGTTAAACAGTCTGATATGCTGGCAGCTTTAAAATTTGGAATAATTCATTTTAAAGACTAGAGTGGGTGAAATTTAGTTCAATGTGGATGATGGTTTCGAATATTTAGTGTTAGTGTTAGGATTATTCATTGTTTTAGTCAACAGTGGTTTCGAAAAGGGGAAGATGTTGTACTTTGACGATTTTATGGAGGGTATTGCTTTACGTTTAGTTAGTGTATCAAACTTTTATTCGCAGCTATAGAAAGCCTGCCCTCTGAGCTTAGTGAGAGCCTCACGACAGTAAGACATCTCGACCACCAGGCACAAAGTAAATTTTAGATTACGGGGTTTTTACTCCCCTTTTAGATGCTATAGGGCCCCTTAACTCAAGAATAAATGCATTTTTCGACAACTGCAGGTATTCTCGCCTGTCCGAAAAAGAAAAGGAGGTTGAATACCAACTAATCTTAAATGTAAACTGTTAAATTTAATAGCAAGTCCGTTATGTAGGAATATGATCGAGCGATGGATTACTCAAATAAGAAATTAGCTATTGTACGCACAATTTATGAAACAGTGCGTTGGTCGAATGTTTTAATTTTTGTTTAGTACCAAAAACTAATGAAGAAACTTGATTCAGAACTGGATAAGTTTCGTTTGGAACTAGAAGCTGATAACTCGGGAGTAACCTCAAAAATCGAGCATCGTACGTACTTTTATGCTTCGGTTTATTAGTTAAGGCATTCGCACACTTCTTGGACGCAATATGCCTGGGACCAATAGGCTTGATAGTAAGTTGGTATACTGTTTAACCGTTTGTAGAACGTCGTTCCAAATTCCGGGCTGGGCACTTATTTAGCGCCAACCGAGTGATTCCAAGGCGAAGGCCGGCATACTCCCACGATGCTCCAGATCGGCAGTTTTATGTTCTCAAGCGTCGGTTTGCAGCGTTTGATACGTCTCCTATGCCACTGCCGCTGGTTTCTTGCAATGGTAACAGTGTATCTTTCTTTCCCGAAGATGGTTCAAACACGCTTATGTCTGATGGAACTAATCGGGTTTCGAGTTCCGGCAACCTTCGTCGCATTCCAAGTGCTGGAAGCATTGAGTCGATTGATCAAAATGTGGGTGAGCATGAATTTGGCCCTTTCCATACGGAATCCCAAGACTTTTGTGATGAGGATGATGACCTCCAACTAACAAGTAAGAATTAGGTTTGATAGATTATCTTCTGCTTAAAATTACTTGGTAGGTAGATTACTCCTCAAGCCTATTTAGTAACAATTTTTAATTATAAGGTTTGTGTCTTGACTGACTGCTACTCTGTACTATCTCAATATCTCACTTTTAAAACCCGCCATCATTGATGTCCTCTTATCAAATCAGAAGAATTGTAATGATTACCGGGTTACTCGGTCGGTGCGGTAGTGCACGGCTTCATGCCGTAATGAGAATTCTGGTCCAGGCAACTTAAGCAAGCACAATTTTCAGGCGTTTAAAGCTGTCTTTTAACTTGCTAGTCGATTCCACTAAGCGGGGTCGCACACTCGCAACTCCCCAGCGGTCTGCAGGGACTCCAGTTGATGTTCCTGGACGTGACCCTCACAGGTGTGTTTCTTATTTGTTTTCAAATAGCCCTTTTGTGTCCTCAAACCCTTTCGCCGGTTAGTTTTGCTTGCTACCTTGCCGAAAACCAATTGCGCTTTTTGCATTCCTGCACCCGAGTCGGTTGTTGTTGTGTGCTTGGTAGAGGCTTAGATTTCCGCCTACAAGGATCAGCTAGCCTTGAATTCCCTTGCTGAGATGTACTGCTTGATGCAATCGGGGCCACATGACGCAATTCAATGTCGTTTTATTCTTTCCGTGGGCTATTCGCTCTGGAGCCATTTAGCCATATGTGTTCGCTTTTTAATCGTTTGTCGTCGACAACGTGTTTGCGGCCTTATTGGCTGTACTTGGTTGGGGTTTTCGCAAAAGTATTTTTGAATTGCATAAATTTCGTTTAAAAGGCCACCCCGTGAGTCATTTGAAGTCAGGACAAGCCTACCGTGTTGACAGGAAAAAGCATGTTGTAGTAGGTACTAACGTCTAGTAGATTCACGCGTCTCCTCCTAAAAAGTTGGAATCCCGTCATATTTTCTTTCTCGGCATCTAGTTTGCGTATTTCTCAACAAACCACGATTTTTTACGGCCAATTGAGATGTACGTAAGTACATTGTGGTGTCGTAGCTGTTTTCCTTTCAGAAGGAACCTTTGCAGGTGAATTGCCTACGATTAAATTTGCTTTATAGCCAAAGTATGGGGACCGTAGTGAGCCTTTACTTTCCCGAAACAGGCGTTCTATATTAAACAGCACTACATTCAGTGCTGCGAAGTTCCCCGAGTTGCGTGTAATCCCTGCGCAAAACTTTGGGGCTCTAGATTAACCCTAATCCCCTGTTTATATTCTCCCTCTGCCTTTCAGGTCTCATCACGGGGGGACTTGTTACTCGCCTTTCGTTGCCACGTCGGACACTGAGGCGGTGACGCTAGGTACTGCTGGTAGCAATATCGTTGCTGATCAGTCTATCGATGACTTGCTGACGAACCCCACGGTGCCCGCCTCACCGAGCGTCAAATGCGACGACAGTCCTCGCTGGCTCGGAAGTGCGAGCATCACCGATAAAACTCGTCGCCTGGGTGGACACTCCCGGCGTCCGAGTCGCATGAGCTCCTCAACCGTCGATTCCAACGAAGAAACCGGCGGTTATGTTTCCTCTAACGAACTTCACCACCACCCCCACCGTTACTCGTCGTCTCACTCGCCGGCTAGATCTGTCAAAGACCAACAGCAAGAGTCACTCCCCATGGCTGTTGGTGCAGGCGGGGAGGCGGATGAGCAGAGATATTGTTTTTGCAATGATGTTAGTTATGGTGATATGATCGCCTGCGATGCGCCGACCTGTCCATTTGAGTGGTTTCACTACTCGTGCGTAGGACTCACAGTTGCACCAAAGGGTCAGTGGTTTTGTCCGTCCTGTGCCAAAGGCGGTGCTATCAGCACACGGTTCGCGGGAACATCCTCCGCAAGCAGGAAAAGGTCGAACCACCGCCGGTGAAGTAGCACTGTTTGTAGTTTCGAATCTCAGATCCAAGTAAACCTTTTAATTTATCTCCTCTTGCGCAAATGATGGGCGGCGATAGGGATTATGAACATCACAGCAACACGAAACGGAATTGGATTGATTGATTGTTAATAAAGACCGTTGTGGAGGCAGAATAGGACAAAAAGTAGCAAATTGATGACTTATTGGAATTTAAAAATGAGCTTGACCAGGTCAGTAAGATGTGCGTCAGTTAAAAGGTTGGCGGCAGTAGGACGATGGGATCGTTCGTTAATGCAAAAACTCCTCTGAAGTTTACGCATTCATTTTGGGTGGAAGTAGTCACAATGATTGGAGGGAGATTTTATCCAAGCAGTTGTAAAGTGAAAGGAAAAGGCAGAGAAAATTGCCGAGGGAGGGGGTGGTCGGTTATCTGTTTTTAGTGCTCCTGGCGACGCATCTTGTGCGTCGACCACAGCACAGGCCGACCACAAAAACGGCTCCAACGATCGTGAGGAGAATCCCGATGATTAGGTTCCGCGACTGGCTGGCGTTGATCTCCTTCACTAGCGTTCGCCAATCGAGCAAGTCGGGTCGCTTAGCAGACATCTCCCAGAGTTCGCGGCGAACTTCGAGACTTCGTCTGCAAGCCTCTTCCATGGCGGGATTCTTCGCATCCAACGCCTTCAGGAGGCACTTCATTTGGCGTCCACTGCCTTGGGCGGTCTGCGGGTAAATGATGCGTGGTAATTAAAGCTAGGGCTAATTCGGCGAACAGACTACTTTACGACAAGTTGCTGTACACTTCTCCGATAATTCCAACGACACCAACAGGAGCATGGCTTACAAAAGTGAGAGAAAGTGTGAATCGACACGGTTGCCCGAATGACGAAGCTGTTTAATGCGGAGCAGCTCTATCAAATTACGCGTCAAAAGATATGATTCTCAAGTTAGAAGCAAAGGCCAAATGATGTTAGCTGAAGTTCAGCCTGCAGTGCAATGTAAGTGATGAATTGGACCGGCACAGAAATTCTGTAGAATGCTTTAAGTGAAACAGTAAAGGGCGATTAGGCTGGATAGTTGTTGATGCTTCACCTTGAATTGAGTCCTAGGACCACCTAACTGTGCTTACTCCTGTCAGTCGACCATTTAATTTCAATGATTTAAGGCTGTTAGATGTGTCACGTTAGTTTTCATAATCCCACTTACAAGGAACACTCAATTCATGGCAAATATCCGTTGACGTTACCAGATCTTGTGTGAACATTCCTGTGGCAAAAATATGGCATTTCAATACTCCGTGCAAGGCATTGGTTGGATGTGGTTCTCAGATTGTCAAAAAACTACTTTTAAGGAACACCAGGGCATCATACTGCTGCCGAAACACGAAGGCAAACTCACCGAGCCGCAAATTGCCTCGAGGCTGGCAGCACAGTCCCGCGCCAGAACTGGGTCCACATCGATGTCGGCTTTGCTAGCCAAGGCAAGACGCAGCACCTCAACAACACAGGAGTCGTTTTTCACCTTGTTCTGAGCCACTTGACGACGGAGACACTCAATCACCGTGCCTTGGGACTTCTCGCCGTCCACCGCGGACAGAGCCAGGTCCTCTGAGCAGTGCTCAGAAAGGTCACCGTGGCAAACCTCGGCCAGCAAAGGGTCCATGTGGTGATTCAGATTGGCCGATATCAAGAGCTTTACAAAAGGTGGGAAGTGCGTAAGCAGAGGAATCGATGTCGCGAAAAACTACACCACATAAGAGCGAGGAGCGTAAAACGGTCAGTCAGAGGTCAAAACTTTGGTGAGGGCAAATGGGGGTTGCGGCATATCCTAGAAGGATGACTTGGAAAAAATCGAAAACCGTGACGAACAGAGTGGTGGAAGGTGTACTTGATTAAGAGGTACAACAATGGTGTGGGTCCAAATACACACTGAAAGCATTGCATGTATTGTGCATTAAACAAAAACCATTAAAAAGAGCATTGTGATAAACTATTTACGCTTTTAGCGATGTTCTACCTAGCTTGTGAAAGTGATTATTCTACCACTGCCCTGATAGTTTTAAATGTACCTAAAATAACACCCCGGAAGCTGACGTGGCTAAGTAATTGTAATGCAGACCGCAGACGTCTTCATCAATACTTATTGTCGTGATAATATCGATAAATGTATGATTTTATTCAAAACACTGGACAAATATCGTGCACATACAAAGCAAGTGCCGATTGGTTTTTACATATAGTCTCTGAGGCTGAGGGGTGTCTAATCAGGCCCCAACGTTAGACGGCGATCTACGCGGGAGCCAATAAAACAACGAGAGACATTTCTAATCAAAACCTCTTTGAAATAAAACCGCTAAAAAGACGATATTTGTTCCGGTTAAAAGTGCTTTAATTACAGGACTAGTACTCGCGACCATAGTACCAGTTATCGCAAGACCAGATGATTTCTGTAAAAACGACTGGCAAAATAAGCACTTCAACATTTGTCAACGTAAATAAACGTTTTTGTTGGCAATTGATGCAACAACGTTGTCAATTCATGGACTGTAACTTATCTAGATTCAAGTATATTCACCCTGTGTGCATGTGGCAACGTCAGCGATTGTTAAAACACAGTCACAAGGTAAGTAAGAACGCTTTGACAAAACGCAAAACTACCGACCAACAATTAGGGGTTAGAATTAAACAAGCCATACCTGCACGAGGCTACAAAATAAAAGTGGCAGTTAGTAGACAACGACATGAGTTAGGACAATGCGTCGAGTCCCTACGTCTAACCGTAAACATGCGTGGGTGGATTCTTATAAAGACAACAGGGGATTTGCATTTCGGTGGAAGTTGAAAAAAAAACATTTGGAACTTGTGTGCTAAACTCAAGTGATATTGGCGAATAGATAATCGGACAACGTAACGGTGACACTTCGAACACGTCTACCACAACCATGCACGTCGAAAACCACATGATTAGTGGATAAATAAGTTTGAAAGTAAGAGTAATCAACAAATTAACTAACAGGGGTGCTAAAAGCTGCGGTGGCGTCCAGTTTAAAGTAAGACGCACTTACCTCACGCATGTACTTTGCACAGGACGGCGAGAGAAGTGATTTGCCCTCATTGCTAGGACGGACGGCGTATTGGCGCTGAAGACACCGGGCCACTGCATTGCCGTTTTCAAATGGCTTTGCATTATCAGCTCGGAGTTCTTCAGCACAAAACATCCGTATGTCTATGCTGGCAGGGCAGAAAAAAAGGAGGAATTCGCAACGCGTCCTCAGCATTCCTCCGGTCTACATGTCCGAATTTATGGCCTAATTTAGGGGTGCAAATATCGCAACACGGCCACATATAGTTAAGAGAAAACGTGATAGTATGGTGAATCTTGTTCATCAACCCTGTCGCTGTGTACTCCGAAACTGCGCCCTCCTTTTCACAGCGTTCGTTCACACGCCCTTGTGCACGTACCACCACCGCTACTCTCGTCACTCATCTCGCCATTCAGCCACTCGTACTTTCACCACTCCACTCAGAATACTTTGACTCACAATCCTTATTGGTCAGACACACATAAACGACAGCAACACAACCTGGTTGAGGCACCTAAGAAACGTCTGGGTCACCACCGTCTCCGGTATTCTTGACCTTCCCGGATATCAGTGTAGCGCAGTAGGGCCGATATGACGCAACCGTAAATGGTAATTGGCAAAGGGAATATAACTGTTAGCGTGCCTTGTAAAATGGGGGCGATTACTTGAACGTTTGCGGTGTTTGGCGATGTGAGAAAGAAACGCGGAAACTTAATGGACGACCAGTATAAACGCAAAGTTATACAGCGATCAGCACTTAGAGTAAGTGCAGAGGGCACCGATTATGGACGACACTAAGTCTAGCGAGGAATTGTTTTATTTGTGCAGGTTAGGTGGAGGGCAAGGAGAAGTACGTACCGACAGTTTGAATTTAACCTCGGGCTGAGGCGATGATCCAGTCGTTGTGTCTGAAGCCTTTCAATGACTAAATGCCGGCAGTCGGCATCGAATAGGTCACCAAGGCCATCCGAGGTCTTCTTTAAGCATTCCAGCAGGAGGAAATTGTGTTTAAAGTTCTCGCAATGACTGTGGATCATTTCTGCGCAGGTAGTCATCAGTTTGAAGTCCGAACGGCTCTCCGCCATCGCCAGCTGGTCCCGGCTGAAGACCTCTCGATGACACTCTGGGGAAAGTCGACTTCGATGATCCCGGAGGCATTCTAAGGCCTAAGAAAAATTACAAATACTTTGATCCAGGGGACAACTACAACAGACCTGAGTCTGGTGCTGTCTTTTTATCAGCGAGACGTTGGTACAATCGGATATAATGGCCAGAAATCCAAGACAAATGTGCGACTTACAGATGCGTCTGGTGAGATTACAGGCAGAATTTATGCCAGCAAACTGAAATGGGCTACCAGATTAAAACCAGACTCGGGAACGGGTTTTACTAGGTAAATTTCATTATGAATTTAAGCTTATAAACACGGCCATATCTAATTGAAACTAAATTTTATGCACACGAGAACGCCTTGGGTCGTGCACGAAAATTGGCCTTTGACAATTATGGGTGACAATTAATGTCTCCTTAACAGCCAATCAAAAGAGGTAAGGCCACTGCGGACATCGAATTCCATCGGCTAATTAGCCAAGAAGAAATGCAGAATCAATGGCCTTATTGAAGTAGGTGAACAAAATCGCCATAAAACTTGGCACTTATAAAATAGCAGCGGAAAATGTCGTTGAAGGGAAGGGCTTAAAAAAGGGATTCCAAGTTGGGAGTTCGGAAAAGTACACAAGAATGTAATAAGCAGTGAATCGTGATGGTGCTTGCTGTGGATTTGACACATTCGCCCATTGATTTTAACGATAACACATACGTTGCAAGTTGAAACGGTCCAGACTTCGGTGGTGCAACTTTCCCTTCCTCATGTTGTAGTTTGATCTTAGCACTACCTTACAACCCTCTAATTAACCGCCCAAGACAACTTGAGGATAGGGGAAAGGGAGGCGACAGAGAACACGACCGTTTATTAGCATCAAACCAGCCAAGTGGCTTTGTGGGCGTATGAGTACGCGTGCGTAACAGGGGAATGCTGACAGAGGCCAATAACAAAAGGGGTGGGTCATTGCACCACTCGGGCCCTCATGCACGCATCACCCACGCGAGGTGGCTGTCAGTCCACTACAAGCATTCCCCGCCGAGAGTGTTAGCTGTGAAACAGTAAACGCTCGACAATAAGTGAACTGAATCAGCAAAGCCGACAACGGGTCCCAGGGGTAGGTCGGATCTCTTCCTGGGTTGACTTGGCTAGCGGAAACGGGAAGTGGTGCGCTGTTGTTGTTGAGGCTGTCTAGATGATAATTCATCCCATCTCAGTAGGTGGTTAGTTACCTGTTTCCTGCTACACCAGAGGAGAGACATTCGTGGATATTATGCGCCATTTCTGTAAGCTTATCCAAATGTACGCTAGAGCTCTGGAACGAGGTGATTGTGTTCATGTGTGCCACGAAAGTTTTAGTCCACGTTTGGCGTAGAACGGATCCATTAGCCTTGATATCCCCAAAAAAAGAGGCGTATAAGCCGAAGGAGTTGAGAATGAGACCTATCAACTAGCTCGATACCAGAAAGTAGGCGTCGACGACGAGGCTCGTTCAGGCTGATCAATAGTATGAGAGCAGCATCATTCAAATCTCCAAAGGGGTGTTCAGAAGGCATTGTTCCAAGCAAGTCGATAACGTCTGTAGCAACATCTCTCCGTAGCCTTGCACCAAAATGAAAGTATTTGGAGAACTGGGAGGCAATCATCTGATTACGAAAATGGGCTCCAGGTCGCATAAACCAGACTCGGGATTTGGGAAAGCACGGGGGAGAGTTGAATGAAATGCCGTTTCCCAAACAGAGGTTTACAGCAATAAGGTCACCCAATGTTAAAAGATGAGAGGATTGTGAAAAATTCGACGGATATCACCAATCAACGGCGTCAAAAATCAAGTCGTTTCATCACGTCGGGGCCACCAAATGTAGTGGCTAGGGAATTTAGCACTCGGGCCCTCATGCACGCATCACTCACGCGAGGTGGTTGTCAGTCCACCACACTCAGTCATTCATTGACAGACCGTTATACAACAGCGTGTAAGTGCGGCTAGATGGTGAACAAACTCACATGTACTTTCTATTCCGATTAACTAACCATTCCAGTAGTGTGTGTAATTTCAGCACCACGGCAAAGGTGATCCCAACAACTAACCAATCATAACAAAGGTAAGAGGAGACTAGGAGGAACGATCCCCCCCCCTGTCCGAACTTGGCAGCTCCATCGACGCCACTGCGGACGACTGCTAGTCAGACAAAGTGACGTCAGCGCATTAGCTGCCAAACAAGTGGACACAACAGAGTTACCGCAACACTTCACTTACTACCGTCGTGATAGCAAGCCTAAGGGGTCACATGCGTTGCCGACGGATTGGCCAAGTGCACAGCAAAATGGCATAAACGAAGTTTATTTACAAATTGATGAAACAAAATTGAAGCTCTATGAACAGGCTGCGCTGCTCCTGTCCTGGATCAATTTATTGACTAAGAAAATAGCGAAACTTTTATACGGAAGCCGCAGGTACACTAGTAAGTGCACGACTTAATTTGTACAGATTTTTCAGCAAATTCATGGAATATAAAAAAAAAGAACAATAAACTTAACTTTGAAAATATTTTCCGTCGCTTTCCAAGACCTTGCGCCATTTCTCAGGTAACGTAAGAATGCCGTCGAAAAATAAACTTGCAGGCTTCCAGGCGATAAAGTCATCGACGGATTTACGCACATCATTCAGCGTCATAAACTGTTTATCCACTAATCCGTACTGCTGCATAGACCGAAACAAATGGTAGTCGGATGGGGCCAAGTCTGGTGAATATGTCGCGGGTGGGAGAAGATCCCATTCCCAGTTCAAGAGGATCTTCTGAGTCGCGTCATACACAGAGCCTTCTTCAAGTGGATGTCCCATTTCGGCGCCGAAGTACTGGGTTGCCGAGGATCTATCCCGACGTTTTACGTTTAGGATTCTCGTAGCAAACAATGTGCTTTTCACAACCCGTCACAATTTCCCACAAGAAGTCCATCCATTGCTTGTTGCGGGTGTACAAGCAATGACCTAGAATTGACCTAGGTTGTGTTCGCCCAACACATGTGTGGGACCAACTTTTGATTTATTTTTAATTTTTTCCCATTTGGTGCAAACGGCTGAAACTTGTTGTTTAGATGAAGCCTCACTGAGCTGCAAGCTCTTGATGCGCGTGCACTGAGGGTCTTCATCAAGTAGAGCTGGCAGTTACGCATCTTCAAACATTTGCGGCTGGTCACTAAGATCAAATTCACCACTTCTAAAACGTTTGTGCCAATAGTTCCACGCTTCATTGGATACAACGTCAGCGCCAAGAACACTTCGAATTGAATCTCATGTCCGTGTTGGACTATAGTGCCAGTGAATGTGTTGTTTACGAGTTGCTATAGTAAACTCTGCTATTTTGAGAGGTTATGTAGCGTTCGGTGATGCGAAATCTTGCGTCCGAACCTTTTAAAACCACAAAAGACCGCGAGACTATTTCTATTCTAAATATGATTTTTTAGTTCGAAGAACAAATATGGACTAATTAAGTCATACACCTAGTAAAAACTAACTACCGGGACACAAAAGACTGTTTAGTGGGAACCAAAGAGCAACATCCAAGGGGCCTCACCTCGCCAAGTCCTTTGGGAGCATGGGAGCAGTAGAGCTTTCGGTCGGCCTCACATGCCACGGCCAGGGTAAGATCGAGCACCAGCGACTCCGACCGGGAGAGAAGCTCAAAACGAATGTGGCGCGCGCACGCCTCCGGTATGCTGTGTGTCTCGTTGGGCAGCGCCAGAAGTTTCTGCTCCAGCAGACTCCTACTGAGACACATGACCGCGGCCATCTTGGTCATCACTGCAGGCGGAGCCCCTTCGGCCGTGACAGCGGGGCAAAAACGCACAATGGAGTCGTGGCAGTCCTCGTGGAAGCTCCGCGAAATCCGCACGTCCTTCAGACCTAGACAGTGTGCGTGTGAAACCGGAAGAACTCAACAAGGGGCCCGTTAAGACGTGCTCCACAGCAGGAGCTCTGTAAAGCACCTGCCGTACTCGCACGCGCATCAAAATTACCAAATAGCGAGTGGTGTGGGAAATCGTGATGATTCACGTCAATCTACGCTGACGCCGCATACTAGTCACTAGTCATTTGCTAGTTCGCTCGAAGTCTATTGGTCAAAAACCTTCATTTTTCATGTCCACCCAGGTAAATTTCAAGACGTAAAAGACTACGTGAACTCGAATACACTCAAAATAAAACACAGCTGAGTTTATCCATCTGTTGAATGGTTGCGTCTCTATCATCTCGGGTCTTCTTAACCTTCCCAGGTGTCTCCGTAGCGGCGTGGACCGAGATTAATCTCAGGAGAGATAAGCAAGGAAGTCGACATCACTTAAACAAGAGACAAAGCAGGCATAGGACCTATGAGACGCCCAAACGCGGCGGATATACCAACGCACGTTGCAAACGAACGGAACCAGTTAACATACACAATAAACACACACATGCACACACCAGAGCGACGAAAAAACACACACATGTGAAGCGCTTCAGATAAGACGGGAGGTGACGTTGTAGAGGAATTCGTTGAAATCACAAAATACGCATATTTTAACAAATTAAATCAGACTATGTCGAGAGCAGTAAACAACGAAATGAGGAGTTTGATGCTATAACCAGAAGAAACTGAAGCACACTACAAAACGAATGTCGGTCTTCCTAAAAGCGCCTTGTAAAACGACGCGTTAGGGTGTTACGATGGCCTTTTTTGTATTCGCGTACAACGAATTTTTGCAAAAGCTCTACCAAATTGGGGGGAGGGGCACCGTGGCTGAATTGCCAAAATCCCATTTCAAAGCAGCAAAATCAAACACTGACAACTAGACGTGACGAGTCGATGGCACCAACCCTTGGTTGTGGAGAGCCTAGAGGATCACAGTCAAGTCACGACAGGTGACCACGTCGTCGCGCATTAGCTAACATTGGGAACGTACTTCTAACGCACGACACGCGGAAGACATCGCGTGAAAACCACCAATGACGCTAAATGGTTCACCCTACAGACCACGCCCTCCATAGTGGAAAAAGTATTCAAAAACGACAGGAACAATCATAAAAATGCACGGATGAACCCACTTGCTTGCCGTAGCAAAGTTTAACTGAAATTTCAATGGTTCAATTTAATTTGGCCGAGAAAAAATAGAGGAAACCTTTTGACGGTTGGTGAGGGACGACAAATTCTGGGTACTACCCAATTTGGTTGCATGCGGTAATCGAGTATATCAACGGACGGAACTTATCAACACGTAACTTGGAATGCTTGAATGAATTTAAATTCAGCGCACTAAATAGCAGTATTTTAGTCTAACTCGTATGAGCGATAGCAACTAGAACTATGAGTCCGACATAAGGAGTACTAACAAGTCGCTAGTGTAGTGTCGAATTGTTTGTAGTCAACTTTGCCCATATGGTGCGAAGCCAATTCGTATTTCCGATAACTTTCGGCTAAAGCATTGATGGGTGAAATGTTGGTGGGTACTAACAAAATTCATAAATGTCTGAAGGGCGTCTGCACAGGTGCCAAGTTGAGAGAAAGAACCCCAACAAGGGCAACTTAAGAAATTAAAAGTTACGATCTCATTGTTGGAACAAACTATACTACTAGAAGGGCTTAATTGCACATTGACGTACAGCTCTGGATAAGAAAACAAACCGACCGCAACTCAGGTTTGAGTAGAGCCCAGAGTTCAAGTGACAAGGGCCTACAGGACGGCGAATAATACGCCACAACAACCAGAAAAAACGACTTACTTAGAATCTGAAAGTGCTCAATCGCGGCTTTGCACTCCAACTCCATGTCGGCGTGGTTTTTGTGCTCCACAAGGCACTCGAACATGAGATCGTGGAGTGTCAATTCTTCGTCAGCCGTGGCCGATTCACTGATGACACGCTGGACACTATGTGGGACGCCCTCGCAGAAGCGCCTCTCGGCGGCTAAGCAACTCCTGGCAATGCGTCTGTCCAAGTCCGGTTTCTCCTCCACATCCTGAGTGTAGCGCACTAGCGCCTCGCGGCAAACCGGCTGGAATAAGGCAATAATGAATGCTTGGATGATGAGCAGAGGCTCTTTCCGAGGTTTTATCAAGAGGAGAAATTCCAGCCAGCTAATTCATTAACAAACACGACGCACGACGCCTCCCGACAATGTGGTCAGACTCAGCCTAAAATGTGCATTCCTAGTGCGAGATTTAATGATCGTGCACATACTTGTAACTATGCAGCACATTTCCATTCCGAAAACGATTCTATCGAGCAGTCAAAATTTAGCCCTTGAGATGTAAATTTGTATCCTTGCCAGGCTTGCAATCACAACGTATGTTTATGTATCCGAGACTTCGAAAGTCAAACAAATAGCCCCATTTGAGTTAATTTAGCTGGACATCGGACTAACAAAAGCTAATAGCCATCAACTTGATCCCTCACCGAAACCAGTCGAACAAAGAAAGTATTTGCTCTTTCTTCGTGGCTGGAACATTTTGCAACAAAAGAAAGAACGGGCGTCGTCTACTATCGTTGAAAATATTTGTTACTGAGCTCTCCGATCGGTTCACATTGTAATTGAAAAAAAACAACGTTTCACGAAATCCACACAGCTAGTTCTCATGATATTGGTAGTATAGTCTAAATATCCAATGGCGTATCGATTCTAGTACGCTAGAGTTTACAGACCAACCAACCTGGAGTTGATCCATATAATCCTCGAGACAGCTCATTCCTTGCTCCATTTCGTCGTCTTCATCTTCATCCTCCTCATCAACGGACGGTCTTCTGGGAGAGCAGAATCTACCCAGGTCAGCAAGACATGACTGAAACACCTCAGGGTTAAGATCAATACTGGAGGCGCGAACAAGCATAAGGTTTGTTATTTCACGCAGACACGGACCACTCAGGGTGCCCACAGCTTTGCCGCCGCTTCGTGGTGGGTGGCGGTGACTCCACAAGCAGTTAACAAGCAGTGGGTCTACCATCCGATGCTGTTTCCAACTTCCAGTTGACAAGTGACACAACTTCTCGGCATCACCTGAGCAGGCACTAAACGACAGCCAAGATAGATGAAAACAAGGGCGACCCACTCGTATAGTGAACGATCCAATGTAATATCACGAGACACAAAAAATTCAAGCTCGAATAGATGCTGACGGCAGTCATCGTTCATTTCCGTCTCATCACGATTATTTAGCAGGCATTCGTACACGTCCCTCTCCGAGATAACAGATGTGCTGCAGCGTGTTGTTAAGAGGGAGCCACAAGACCGACGAATGACTGGATCTACACGAACGTCCTCAACAACATCAGTGATCTTATAACATGAAACCGATTAATTTGGAATTTACCTTAACGAGGTCATGGAGTGCAGTTTGACACTCTTTTGGTAGGGCTGATTTGAGACTTTTGGAGGGACTTCTCTGAATGCCTAGAAGGCAGTGTAAGACGTCGCCCTGACGGTTTTTCTTGTAAGTGGCGCAGAAACTATTTATCGGTTTCTGACAATGTAGAAGGATCTCGGGCGTCAGCTTTAAGATAAGTAGAATTATTTGCCAAATGGTCACCTTACACTATAGTCTTCCATAAGCTGTTTACGAACAGCTTTCATTTGGAGTAAACACGAGGACGAAAATTTGCTGCCTTTTTTGTGTTGACCGTCTACGAGGCACAACAATAAAGAGGAGAGCATGCTGGAATCTTCACTTTCAGGTGTGTGACAATTGTTTTCCATAATTTCAGTTTTGCAGGCAGTGGTTAATGCGAAATCCGTTCTATAGTTTTGAGAGCGAAGTTTCTGCCTAGAATGAAAACAAAACGAGAACTGAAAACTACTTACACAGAGCAAATATAAGCTCTAATGGCCTTCAAAGGAAAATGTATTATTTAAAACACACTGACCGTGGTAATGTTGAACAAGGCATTCGAAATGACTAGGATCAACCCTTGTGAAACCTGGCTTTTATTAAGACTATTGCCTGCCCTGAGGTAAACGATCAATACGGTCATCGTCAAAAAATATTCAGTGTATTCGCACCATAAAATAGTATCTTTTAGAACCCACCTGTTAGTTAATTTTTCTCGACAATCCTCCGACATTCCTTCGTCAAATTTATGTTGCATTAAACAGTCGATTATACGACCGTTCCCAGAAATTACATCCCGGCAAAAGCGTTCCCTATCATCACGACAAGCATAAAAAAGAGGTCTGTCAAGGTGGAAATCATCTGATTGAAGTTCTGATATACGAAATACTTGATGAGCACATGCTTGGTCTAGCTTTTCGATGTGATGGGTGAGACAAACTATAGTAGCGCCCTGAGAAGCAACATTAAGCCTTTCTGTTTTATCCGAGTCTATGTTTATTCTTCCACATCTATATTTTTCTACATCTGCTTTGCACTTTTCAATAAATTGATAGACAAGACGGTAGTCCGAGAGGATTATTTCTCCAACAAGTTCCAGGTATTCATAACAGGCCTTGTCTTTTACCTAAATCTTCATCACATAAATCAATAATATACCTCTGTCTTGTGATCAAATAAGCAAGGAATTTTCGACGAAGAATCCTCGGGAATTTTTTTACACTCTTCGATCTGGCTGAGTTCATTATCACATGCACCATTTGACGCGGATTTAAAGTACGGACTTTGGGTTAGCTGAACTCGTCGCTTCCACAGAAAATGATGGCATTCGTCCGATAATTTGTCCAAATGTAGAGGCTCACCCTTATCATGTGTGAATTAAATAATGACATACCATCAAACATCGAAGGAGGATAAATTCATTTGTAGAACCATGAACAGAACTACAATACAGGTGGAGCTCTGTTGAACAACCATTCTCAGCGTCCAGAAGAGTTAGAGGCTTAGAAACTACACAAAGTGCTACAAATATTATGCACAAAAACGAACAGATTTGGCCTAGCGACATCATGTAGATGTTACATCTACAGATATTTGACAGTGTGGTGACCTTGCAGGACATTGCGTCGAAATGACCTAAAGATTTTAATAAATAAAACCCCTATTTTGAAGCCAGTTTCACTATTTTTATGCATATCTAAACATTAATTTGACCAAAAATTTAGATATGGTGATTATTACTATATACTAGTCGTAATTATAAAACATGTGGATCCATTTAAATGTAATTTTTTTTAAGTGGTTCAGCAATTATAAGGAAAATACGGGCTGATATGTTAAAAAGTTCCTATGGTTTTTTTTTAAATTTGTGGTAACTGGTAATAATGTGTTTATATTAAACTAAAAAACAACTGCTGCAACAACTAAATCAGTCCAAAATGGTTTGAACGGTATTTAATGATATTGCATTTATAATTTTTATTATTTAATTGCACTTTTTGACGGTCCAGATAACACACTCAGTTAAAGTAAGTTTATGAAACAAAAAAAGTCCATCTGAGATCGCTTTGCTACTCAAATACACTTCAAAATAATTAGTAAAATGAATCCGTCAAAATTTTACACATTAAATAAATATTATATCACATATCTTATAAGAAATCACTTTTTTAAACAAATCCTTAATGACATAATTGAAAGTTCCATAGTTGCACAGGTCACCGGATATTAATTATTGTATTTTGCAGTCATTTTTAAATTTTTTCGTGATTTCTGATTCGTTGTTTACAACATGTTGTACTTTCGACATCTTAAGAGCACAATCGATGCTCAGTTTTTCTAAGCTATTAATTTAGATTAGCGCCTGATATAATTGGGCCTTTTTTCTTTAGCCTTGCCTTATCAGCGTTTTCACAAGGTTACAGTCACTCGTTTTAATTCATATTGACAATTCAAATGCGTGTGTAGTGACTAGAGGATTTAGCACTACCTTACAACCCTCTAGTTAACAGCCCGTAGCTACCCGAGGATAGGAAAAAGG